AGGCTTACTGCGTTGTGACACTGTGCCATACTGCGATACTATACTCTTTCGAGCTTGAAGGATGATGCCGAATTTCGATTGGCACAGGTGACGGGTGCCACAGAGCGGCCCTACACTTCAAGCAGGACTGTAAGGCGTAAGGCCCGGGCCCCGAAGCCAGCAGAACTGATTGCTGAAGCTTCATGCCAACCTTGACACCCCGACGTGTCCTCCAAACCTGTCGGGCTGGCAAAGGCCAGCTATAAAGCTCAGGAGATGCTCCGTGATAGAGCAGCACAGCAGCTGTGCCTCAGAGGGTATTGATGTCTGGCGCTGCTTTCGTGGGACTTTTCCTGCAAGTCTTTGCAAAGTCCGTGAAGAGTTTGGCTGGAAAGTGTTAACAATTGGTTTGGGAAACAGGCTCCAGTTTGGAGTTTGAACGGAGCTGAGGTGGTTTGAAGCGGTCGTGGCGGTTGTGGATCCACTCGGCGCCTCGTAGGCTCGAGACAGAAAAGCTTTGCGAGGCGGAGCTTGAAAGTTTGCTTCAATTGTTGAATGTTTCAAGACTTCTCCAGCGTCCGAAGATTGAGCTTGACTGCGCGCAATTTGGGGGCTTGTGCGTGTTATCTGGCACTCAGGGTTGATTTCTTACTGGTGCCGGAAGCCCCTAAACCCGCAACAACCTGATACCTGAAGTAAGGTTACATGTACGTGAATTCCAATAACGCAGCAAGCTTAAGATTTATGATGGGGGTGAGTTTAAGGTATGAGAGCAGCCGCCATCGCCCAATGAGGGGGTTTGTTTTGGTATGGAGGGTATGGAATCAACTGCCATCGCCGAATGGGGGGCTGACAAAGAAGAAGCTTGTTGCTCGACTAATGAGGTGGTGGGTTTCAGATGATATGAAATGAGGCGCCCCATTGCCCACCCTGGGGACGAGTTGAAGATATGGAGCGAGCTGTGGTCTTTCAATCTTCCATAGCTTCGAACCTTCGATTTGTCGGAACTCCCAATCTTTCGGCGGATGGTCAAACTCTAGAACTCGAGTCCAAGCTTGCAGTCCTTGCTTGCAGTCCTCCGAACTCCCAACGTCTCGGAAGCTGAAACTTTGGAACGGCCAAACTCTCGACCTCAGCGGCGAGCCGCTACCGAACTTGGAGCCAACCGATTCAAACTCGAAATATTTTTGAAGTTTCGAAAAATCGAGAGTGATCGAACTCGGCCGTGGCTAAGTTTGGAGCTTGCGCTCGACTCAGCTCTTCGAGCTCGACAGTTTTAAAGCTTGAAAGTTCGATTGTCTAGAGTTCGAAAGGTTCGTCTTTTCAGCCACTTTGGATGCTCGCCCACCTGCGCACGCCAATGTGACCAAACTTGCGAATTTCGGCACCTTTCACACCTTCAAAGTTCGAAGTGTCGAACCTTCGAGTTCGAGTGGCCTCACAACATCCTCAATGGTCCTCGCTTGACAGCCCCCTCATTTCCTTCAAGTCGCGGTTCTTCAAAGGAGACCTGGGCCTGGCGCGCTGCACCTCGAGGTCCATGTCTTGCAACCGCTAAAAAAGGGGGAAGAAACCAGCACGCAAGAACACAATGTCTATACGAGGTCAGCAGTGTGTGCTCTCTCGACCATTCGACATTTCGAGCTTGTGTCGCCAAAAGAACTCCAGTCCCTGAGCCTCCCACTCAGGGAGGAAGGATGCCAAACTTCTCCTTCCTTGGCTGAAAGTAGCGGCTTGGGACGAAGCCGCCCCCGTGCCTTTGCGTGGGCCTTTGTTCGGCCAAGCTTCTGCACCTCCACCTCGGCGATGTATTCGGTCATCGCCTCGGGCAATACTGCGCCGAATGCCGAAAGAAACCTAGACCTAACCATGGGCAAACGGCAAGGCTTATTCGAGGTGCGAAGGCAAAAGGGGTACCAGCTTGTGGCCACGGCAATTGTTGCAAGCCCATGACCTGCTGTTCTAAAATCCCCCAACCGCCAAGCAGCAATGTTACATGTACAAACTGCGTTCATGTTGTTATGACCCTCATCCAGAACCAAAGCAGAACCCCTGCCTTGAATGGGCACAGCGAGTGTATAAAGTGGAAACTTCGGAGCCCCCTGGGTGCAGTCCGTGCAGCTGCTTCCTTGGACTTTCCCTTGTTCTTCTCCCAAGCCTTGGTGCAAGAACGGTCTCCTAGGCGAGGCCCTGACGGCTCTGCTAGAAAGGGCTTTCGCGCAAGGACAAGACTTCGACATCAGAGCTGACCCCCCAAGCCCTGCTACGCTGCGAGTCAAGGGTCATCCCACTTCGCCGTCGTCTCCCACTGGACTGACCAGGGGGCGGAGGCGGTGTTGTCGCCTTCCTTCGCCTTGCACAGATGCGCATAGCAGGTTCATGTCGCTTCTACCTGGATCTTCGGCCTGCTTGAAGAGCCCGTAAAGCTTTAGCTTGTCCTCGGCAGCAGCTGGAACCAATTCCTCCTTGCTTCCTCTCAGCAGACCGTGAACATGCCAACGCTGTTCTGGTTTCCCGAGCCAAAACGCTGAAGCTCTAATCCCAAAACCAAGTGCAACACAGAACCTCGAAGTCTTGACACCTGAGTATTCCTGGCAGAGACCGTGTTCACTAATTTTGCAAGCTGCGTCGTTCGTCGCTGAACCTTTCGTCGGCTTTCCTGGAGAGGCAAGACAGCTTGAGCTGCGGAGTGGCGGTTTGAGGGACAGGACACAAGTTGTTCGAACGATCGGTCGTTGGGCTTGTGCGATGCGTCCCAGGGTCCCTTCGAGATCAAGTCCGAGGCTTCGTTGAACTTCGCCTCGAGGTCCTCTGCTCTCACGTCTCAACGTTCAGGCGAGGCCTTCGCCTTCCTCACTTGCAATGGCCGAGTCTCAAGACTCAAAACCGAGGCCAAATCTAACCACAAGACTACACAAAACTTCTACACTCAAACCCCGGGTCCGCCATGTTGCCGTCAAGGGATCTCGGCTCTCAGGACGCTTGGGACTCGAGCCGTGAGGACAGGCTTCGGCCAGAAGAGGTGACACCAGCTTGAAGTTGGAAGAGAGTGCCCCCATGGCATGCAAACGGTCTGACTTGTTTTGAGTGGCGTTGCGTGGTGGAGCAGTACGGGTCGCTAAGCAGTCTTTCTTCATCTGGCTCACTTCTTCAGCTTCTGACCG